ATTAGTCTAGAATCGATTAATTTTATGGAAGAAAACCTTTCAATCAGCCGTAGTCCGTAAACTTCACACGTGTCGGGCTGTGATTGGAAGGACTCGTAAGAAATCGGATTCCTAAAGAATGGAACGTATCTATGATCTTATGGGGGGGGTCGACTGTATATTATTGATTTTCAAATTGAAAATAAATATACTTTTAAATTTACTTATATATATAAATAAATAATATACATTTCCTTTACTCACTTTCTAAATCTGTTTCATCATCAACATAGAATTCCGGAAGAGGACGTCTTTTTGGTCTCTATGATTTGAATATAAAATTTGTTAATTATAATATTTTATTTATTTATACAAAAATTTCTTAAATAGCTGCACCTTTAGGGTATTGAGCAACTGCTGAATTTTAGCTGAAACCTTCCATTTCCCAGTTCCTAAAATTATTAATAATTAATTTAATTAAAATATTTGTTTTAATAATTATTTAGAATATCAAAAATATTTTTAAGAATGTAATAATTTGTATAATTCTTATGTCAAATTAATTATTTGAAATGATTATAACTAAAAAAAATTTCAATATTACAATTTTAAAATTTAAAATAGAATATATAAAAATTATTTTAAAACTTTGAAATAGTGGGAAAAAGTATAAAGTTTCAAAGCCAAACAATTGCCACATTAGATTGGGCTATATTACTGCTTCTTTTAATAATTAATAATTAAACGCTAAGTAATTTGACCTAAAGGTAGATATTAGATGCCATCTCTTATTAAATATAATAGTTATAATTAAATTAATATTTATTTATTAATTTAGAAGGTTCTGGAAGAAAAGTAGTTAACTGTCAAAGAAAAGTTATTAATAGTAGCAGCAACATAGTTTGATCTTATCTGTCAATCATTTGGCTTTTCAGTATGTTATTTTTCAGTATGTTATTTTATTCACAAAGCTAATAAGAAACATCTGATATATATCTGCAATTTATATGTTTCTCAGACATTCATAAGTGTTAGAAAATGAATAAAATGATAAAAAATCATCTTGTGCATTATTTTTTTTATTTTTCACTTTTGATTGTTGGTTGTTCCACCTTCTGGGAAGCTTTTTTAATCATACCCAACATGGTTTAGTCAAACATACAATGAAGTGGCCAGGTGGTAGCCTGAAGCCTGATATATCCAAGACAGAATCCCAAAAAATACATGGGATTGCTTGCCCAGATTCGATTCCTTGTCTCCTACAGTAAAAAGCTGACATCTTAATTGCCTTGACCATCTGCCATCAGCCAGTTTTGAATGCACCAAATGAAAACCTTTTTGAAACTTATCAGTAAATTTCTGAAGTTTATGCAATAAGTAAAAAATGGTGAGATATACAATTGAAATTAACAGAAGATTCATTATTTCTTAATTGAATACCATATTCCCGAGAATTTCTCATGCTTTGTCACAGAATAGTATCATAATGTTCTGCAGTTATGCCTTGACCCTAGTCCAGCATAGTGTTAGACACCAATATAATGCCATGTAAGATACACTCCATCAACACTACCATAATAACAATAAAATTTATTATATTTTTATTAAAACTAAGAAAGAAATTGATTCTAATGGAGGAGGAAAAAAAAAAAAAAGATTAAAACATTTTAAATTACATATAAATCATAATTAAATGAAAATACAGTATTTATTTTTTTAAAATAATTCCAATCAAACTCATATCCTGTAGTTAAACTATTTATATTACAAGAATAGATTTCAGCTTGAAAGTTCTATTTTCATCTTAAAACTAAAGGCATCTCTGCATATGATAATATAATAGCAAACAAACAACAGATTTGAGTTCAAAATAAAAAAACATTTTTCTTAATAATCTGATAATATTTTTGTGTGTTTTGTAAAAAATATGTAACAATTCAAATGTGACATTTCTTTGTAAAAATTTTAAAATAACATTTTTCTATTTTTATTCAACAAAATAATATGATGTAAATTATCAATATCATAACTTTTTGTTTAAAAAATATTCTCTTTTTTCAGAAGTTATATTTGTATCTTTCTGATAATTTTAACAACAACACTTTGAATATAATAAAAGTATTCAAAGTTTATTTACTTATTATAAATCACCCAGTGACACTAAAAGACATTTTTTAAAATATATATTTACAAATAATGTAAACAGTACATATTCCAAATGTTTATAATGAAGTGTTGTATTTTATATACTAAGCACCAATATTAGCTATCTTTTAGTCTTTAATTATACTGTCATTGAATAAAAATCTTGAAATACAGTAAATTTAACAAAACTATGAATTTAATATTTCTATGGTGTTTAAATATTTTAAAAGCTAAATAATATTAATGAAACTTGATTCCTTAATGAGGATCGAATAAAATTTTTATAAGAGACTTTCTTTTGTTTTCTAGACAATGCTGTGGCATAGTTTAATATTTGAAAGTAAAATATTACAACATAATAAAATCTCATAAAATGTGTCTTCTTTCAATTATTATTTCTGATTACCTGTGTTATATTCTAATCCTGCTGAGGAATGTTGTGTAACTCTTACAGATGACATGTGGGCTGGATTGTAGCGATTGATATGATCAGTGCCATTTCTTCTAGACGATGTAGTTGTATTGCTAGTGACATCTGGTTGTTGACTGGGATCTAAAAATTTAAATGTAAAATTATTACTGAAGAAATAAACTTCAATTTTTAACACTCCAGTTTAATGTATATAAATTTTATTATTTAGAGTTTTATTTCTTAAATGCATTAATATCATAAAAATTTCACTGGGTTGTTTGGAATGTAATTTCATTTTTTTTTTGTGGAAAAAAAAAACAATTTTCTTATAATATATAAATATTTTATTGAATTATATATTGACCACTTTCGTCCAATACCTGTTGTCATATTTCTGGTAGCAGCATGATTCCATGCTCATAAAAGTTTTAATCTTTGCTTACAAAAAAATGATCCAAGTGATTTTGACATCCTCATTTGAAGTAAATGTTTTACCATTTAAAAAATTTTGTAAAGACCAGAACAAGTAATAATCCAAGGGTACCAGATATGGCAAATATGGTGGGTGTGGTAGCACATCCATCCAAGCTATAAGATTCTGATAAGTTACCAAACTTGTCAGGTCTGGCATTATCGTGGTGAAACACTACATCTTTTCTGTTGATTACTCCTGGACTTTACTGTTTGATAGTATCACTCAATTTTTCCAGTTGATAGCAGTACACATTTGAATCAACTGTGGAATTGTCTGGTAGAATCTCGAAGAAAAAAAAATTCCCTTAAAATCCCACTAAACAGAGAGCATCACTTTTTTTTTTATGAATATTGGCTTTTGAAGTGCTTTGAACTGGGTCATCTCTTCTACTCCATGATCGCTTGTGTTCGACATTGTTATAAACAATCCATGTTTTGTCACCAGTTACGATTCACTTCAAAAATGAATCATTTTCTTGACATTTGAGAAGCAAATCACAGATGTCAATGAGACAAAGCAAATCTTTTTCTTTAAGAACATGTGGAACCCACATATCGATATATCGAACTTTGGAACAAAATCAAGTCGTTTCAAGGGATCATAAACATTCAATTAGTCAAATTTAATCTCAGTGATTTCTTGTATTGTTATTCGGTGGTTTGCTTCAATCAATACCTTTATTTTGTCTTCATCAGCTTCAACTGGCCATCCAAACATAGTGCATCTTCAATATCGAAATTGCCAGAAAGAAATTTTGTGAACCAGTTTTAGCACTGTCATTCTGTCAACACATCTCCATACACATCACACACATTTTTTTCTTGCTTGAACAGCATTCTTATCTTTCTGGTAATAAAAAAGCAAAATATGCTGAAAATTCTGCTTCTGATTTTCCAAATTTAATGGGACAAAAAATAAAATAAATATAATGACAATACAGTTTAAAATGAAGTTGGTGGGTAAAAATACGACTAATTCCTCTGGTGGTAAAAAAAATGAAATTTCTTTCCAAACAACCCAATAAACGATGGATTCTAATACTGCATGTTGACAGTTTAAAAATAATTTCATACTCAAGTTTTTTACTATTTCATACTTATAAAAATACTGAAAATAACAAAGAATTAGATATATACACATACATTACATTAATAAATCATACGTATTTTTATAGCACAAATTTTTAAGTGAAAATTGTAGTGTTTTCTTGATTGATTTAAGATCTGTAATTTTATTCTGTAATTTTAATCTGTAAGCTTATTAAAAGACAATAAATAAAGATTAAATTTTCTTATAGATAGATGTCATTCATTAAATCACAAAGTTAGCTGGAGACAAATAGTTAACATTAAATCAAATCTACGACAGTGTTTAGTAGTGTTAAAGTAGCCTGATTCAATATGGTGATTGTTTGGTTTATTATTAAAAACATCAGACTGAAATGCCTATAGATATATATTATAATACCATTAAAACTTTAGTGTATTTAATTTTTATCTCTCATTTGTTTTCTTATTTTAATGAGTTAATAAATTAACCATAAAATACATTTATTATTTTATTGAAAAAATAAGAAAAGTAAAAATGACTGGAAGAAATTATAACAAAAAAAAAAAAAAAAATGAAAATTAAGAGATAACCAGAAACAGAAAACAAATAGAAGATTCAGAGACAATGACAAGAAAGATGGAAGTTATGATGATAATGGCTCATTTCAAAAACTTTTAATTAAAAAATGTTATTTATCATTAGAAAAAAATTAAATACAGATATAACTCAATTTATACTAAAATTTGCAAGATTTTCAGTGTAAAATGAAGCAGAAATATAATGGAAACATATGTAAATATATCAGATTCCATTCCAAGATTTTCAATAATGGACACAAAACATTTAAAAAATGTTTTATGAAATTTTCTTATTGAAAATTTAACGTTTAAGAAAAAACAGAAAAGTTACTGCCTTAAAAACAGAAGAACACAACTAACTGGTTTGAGTTTCACCTTTCTCCATTTGCTGAATAATGTCCATATTTTCTTTATAAATAATTTTCGTTGTTTTATTTTTTAGTTCCTTATCCAGATATACATGATAAGATGATTTGGAGACATGAAAGTAAATACTTGAAAATAGTTATTACTAAAAATAGTGCAAGATGAACGTCAAATATATTTAAACACCTAAAAGCAGAGCAACTACAAAGGTTAAAAAAAGTGGAAAATAGGTGTAGTCATCAAGGGTGAAGTAAGATCAATCTAATTTAACCTTCTGACTCCCTACAGCCTATGGTTATAATTTGATTTTTCTCATCACATTTCATATTCCTTCATAATTTTTGTTTATATATTTAAATTTTAGACCATAGTTTAATCATTTGGTGTTATAGTTTTATTACAATGTCCAGACCATGAGTGTCAAAGAAGTTGGACTGTCAAACCTCTTCAAATCATGATCTATGAGAGATGCAAAAGTGAAGCAGACAAACTGTATACAATTACAAGGTATAGTTAGTAATTTTTCGAAACATATTTATAATATATTAAAAATGCAGCTGTTTAACAATAAATTTTTATAGCATATAATTAATATACTATATACCATAAAACATAAAATTACAAAGGCACTCAAACAAATAAAAAAATAAATAAATATTTTGGTAAATTACTTGGTGTAAGATTTTGCATGACATCAGCAAGATTAGTAACCACATCTGTATTATCTCTGTAATCAGGTAATTGATCTTCAAATCTTCCTGATCTTCCATTATACCTCATATGTCTTTGTTGTGGAGAAGGAGTTTCACGTGCAGATGAAGTACTAGAAGTGTCTGACTGTGGAGTTAAAGAATACTGTTGCAAAGGTCGAAAACATCTTTCTTGTTCAGGTGTACTTCCTTCATTTAGAACACTATCTTCATCTGAAGAAGTATCTGTCAGAAAATTAAATTGGTATTATAAATCATATTTTATATCAAAAATCAAATAAATATATTCATGTTTTCTTTAATAAACAGCTACTATTACAGCTAACTGCCATATCGATGTTAACTGTGATGTAAAATTTAAAATAAGAATAGTTCAATAAATATTTACTTCAAGTATCAATTCTATTATAAAACAAAATTCTTCAGAAATTAAAGAAAATAATAATGCTTTGAAATAGTTTATAATTTAAATCAACATTACAACTTCATATGCATAAACATGTATTTATAAATACAGCCATATTCCATTAACTAAATCTTATGTACTCTTGAATATAATTAAAATATTGAAAATTCCAATAAGTTATCAAATCATGATTTTATCATGATAATAAACACTACAAATTCCAGTTATTTCATTAAAAAATATTTAACAAGGTTATTTAAAGGTATGTTTGTAAGCAGTAATGCAATGAATAAATTTGCATAGTACTCTTTATTATGAATTGTATAAGAAATATAATTTATGTAATATGCAGTAGATAGTAAAAAAAAAATGTTGCAATAATATTGTACATTTTATATTAAAATATGAATAAAAGCAGAACAATGAAAAACAAACAAGTTAATTAATGAACTTGCTATAATGAACTNGTTGTTTAGGATCCTGTTCTGAATTGATCTTTTCTTCTAAAACAATTTAATTTATTTATTTCTAATTATTAAATTTAATACAAGATGGTGGCTTAACCACCTACCTATAGTCCATATTATGTAATATCTATATAATTAACCAAGTTTTGCCTGATAAATAATCAGGCACTATGATTTGATTATTATATAATTCACGCTTGAATTTATTCACAATTTGGATAATTTTGCACTCATCTTCAGTAACAATTTAAAACATTTTAAAAAATATCTGAGAATGTGGTTCAAGTAGAAAACAGAACTTCTACTAGATTTTTTTAAAAAAATTATTAGTAAACTTAATCTAATATTGTCTACTTCACAAAATTCCACAATAAATCTATTACTCATTTAGCTGCTTAACTAATCTCTAGTTAAGCAGCTAAATGCAACAGTATTATTTTTTAACTGTTTCATTTCTTCAAGTTGTTAATTTTACCATTGTTAGAGACAAATTTATTCATTCATTAGTATATAGTAAAATGTGTTTTTTTTCAAATAGTCTAATTAGCTTTATAAATGTATCCCATATTTATATGAAGTTGAATGAGTGAAAAAAGAGTAATGTCATTGTTATTCTTATTTTTGCTGAACATTTCAACTGATATGTTTACAACAAAATGGCTGTTTCTAAAATCAAAGTAATGAATGTTACTAGTTCAGTCTTATCTAAAATAAATAGTTTTCTTGGATTGCTTTATGTGGACGTTCAGCTTTTAATCCACAATTAATATATTCAAGTAAATTTAGAAACATCAATATCACCAGATAACATTTTCTTCACAAAGTAAATGAACCCATTCTTTTGAATTTCATTAGGGTTTCATTTGAAACTTCATCAGAATAGAGCATGTGAATTAAGCTGAACTAGTAATTTATCACTAACTCATTTAACTTGTCTGACTTTTAAGAACATATCCATTGTTCTATGTATAATGATACATAAATTTAAATTTCAAATTCAACATATAATTAATTTATATAAAAAATAATTTATTAAATTACAAATACTTAAATAAATTTTTATAAAATGATTGAAGTAATTAAATACAAACTTACCAATAATTGCTCTCCAACTAATGGTGTCATAACATTTCCTTCTGGTCTTGGTGAATTGGGGTCTAACTGATTGGCTGCCACTACAGGAAAATCAAAGGAAATCCACCATAGTAGCCTCTTATTGATTTAAAATGCAAATTAAATAAATAATTACATTATTTATAATCAAATGAAATATATATGCACTGATCTTTTTATCTTTATTATACATTTGAACAGATTACTTTATGTGATTTTCATCTAAGTAAAAATTCATTTTCTTTATCATAATATGAAAGTTGAAGATTGTATACTTAAGAGATGATTCCCAAATTAAAACCATATCCCATTTACCTGACTTTCAAACCCTAAATTTCTTATTTCCTTAACTTTTTGCACATTTAATACAACTTCCAATTTTCTTCCCATTTTTTTTCCAATTTTTCCAATACATGTCACAGGCATATTTTTAATATTTATTTTTGTGGGTGGTAGGGTGTTCAAGTAAGATGCATATTTACTTAACTCCTGATGTAACAATTTTCCTTCTCCTCCTCTCATTCTTATATGAATATCATTACACTATCTTCTAGTATGCAATATGATACCAATAGAAAATAGAAACTTCTAAAATACAGGTATCCCTCGTATAACATGATAGTTACGTTCTGAAAAAGTGACATGTTATGTAAATCTGTGCTATATGAAACAAAAGACTAATGCAAAACATAGGATTATGCTCCAGAAATTAGCAAAAGTATACTATTTTTTTGTTACTAAGAGAAATATGTTTATTAAAGCAATTGAGAATTTATTTCTAATCCAATAAATAACAATTACAATTAAAAGTATTGTATTATGTGTTAATATTAATTTTAGTTAAACAAGAACCTTTTCTTTTTACAAAGTATTGTCATCATCTCAGTTTTTTTGTTAATCTCAATCAGAAGTATCAGCAAAATTTTCATATTTTTTATTTTTATCATAAACAATTTTTATGGACAATGAAATAAAAACACGTTATTAATCAAAAATGTGTTCTAACGGGTTGCATTTGTTTAGTTGAGTACCGAGCAACTTTTCCCCAGAATTTGTGTTTGGATACCGAATTATTCGAGTACTGAGATACTGCTGTATTTCATTCGTCAATTTTACAGATGAAGTAATCATTTTACCTTTACAATCTGACATTTTACCTTTACAAATCAGATTCATTGAGACAATTCAACAAACACATTCCTATCATGTGACATCCTCAAAACGTTCATGTTGCCATACAGGCAATTCAAGAGTCAAGAAAACAGGCCCAATGTAGTAAATTTGAAATAGGCCTTCTGTGGTAAGTTGAACAGAGCTCTGTGAGAAAGAAATGCAGTAACACATTTTATCCAAAGATTTACCAAAATTTAAGTATGAAATGTAGCAATAAATAAAAATAAGAAGTGATTATATTATTTTATTTGAAAACGCTTAGTTTTCCTTACTTTCCCTGACTTTCCAGAATTTGGAAACCCTGATTTAATATAAATTTTATTTTGTACAATATTATATTCTTTTAATAGGTGAAGTATAAAGAATCCAGCAAAGCTGCTCCATACATAATCTATAATATAATCGAGACGGATTGATAATAATAATGATAATAATAATAAGTGCAGAGCCCAAACAGTTAGGAGTTGGAAGCTGAAATTTGGTACACAGATAGGGTACGTCACAAAAACGCACACTAAGAAGGGATTTTTCGAAATTCCTCCCGGGGGGAGAAAGACAGGATCAAGGCTTAACACTTCCATCAACAATGGAAGTGTTAAGTAACAATGGCAGTGTTAGGTAACAATGGAAGTGCTAAGTAACAATGGAAGTCTTAAGTAACAATGGAAGTGTCAACAATGGAAATCTTACGTAACAATGGAATTGTTAAGAGAAAGCGACATGCGATACGCAGATGCAGTTTTTTCGTTTTTGCGGGAAATCAAACATATTTTTAGACCCATCTAAAAATTCTCTAAGAGGACCCAATTCTTGCATTCTGTGAAAACGGGTAAGGTTGACTGTAACGTAATAATCTTTATCTTAGTTATCGTTACTTTTGCCCGAGCAACGCCGGGCCCACCTGCTAGT